TCTGCAGCAACATAGATACAACTAGAGATTGTCATACTAAGTAAAGTCAGGCAGAGAAAGACAAACATTATATGGTATCACTTAGATATGGAATCTAAAATATGACGAAAATGAATTTATCTATGAAACAGAATCACAAAAATAGAGAATAGACTTGTGGTTGCCAAGGGGGAGGAGGGGAGGGAGAGGGATGGACTGGGAGTTTGGGATTAGTAGATACAAACTGTTACATTTAGAATGGATAAACAAGATCCTACTGTATAGCACAGGAAACTATATCCAATCTCCTGGGATAAACCATAATGGAAAAAGAATATTTAAAAAAGGAATGTATATATGTGAATAACTGAGTGATTTAGCTGTACAGCAGAAATTAACACACCACCATAAACCAACTATACTTCAATTTAAAAAAGACGGGGAGGGAGAAAAGTAGTCACCATCAGATCTGTTTAGAAGCCATCCAAGAGCCAGGCTAGGGCAAACCAACATATATTATTGATTGTGAGTGATATAAACCGGCTTTGGCTAATTTAAGCAAGAAAAGAAACCTATCAAAAGGATATCAGGAAGCTCAGAAAATCAGTAAAAGGTCTAGAGCCCCAGACTTAGGAAATGGTACAGAGAGGGGCTCGGGAATGGAGGATGTCACTGGTCATACTACTTCAACAGTCTGATTAGACACTGCCTGAGCAGCTGCCATTATCACAGTGGATGCAGCAGCAACTGGCCGGTTGCTTCACTGTCTCCCTAGACAATTGATGCCATTGTATTGGGTTCAATACTGCTGCTGAGAAGGGTTTATAATCCACCCTAAACCTCTGCTCACCTCTTGAGGAGCATCAACTGTCAGGGACAGGGAGAAGGAGGATGTGACCCCTTCAGCTTCTGTAGTTGGAAACAGGTCCTTTATTCCAACAAGCAGGAAGCAGGATTCAGATGCTAGGCATAAAAAAGGAGATAACACTAAGGGTGAGGGGTATAACCAAACCAAACTCCCAAGTGACTTTGGAAACCCATACCTCAAGACCCTTTGAAGGCAAGTGTCTAACAGGCTTCTAAAACTGTTTTGGACCACTGTGTGACATTCCAACGGTGGTAGCACCATGCTGTGCTAAGTTTCTTCAGTCGTGTCTGACTCTTTGCAATCCCATGAACTGTAGCCCGCCAGGCACCTCTGTTCATGGGATTCTCCAGGCAAGAATACTGGAGTGGGTTGTTGTGCCCTCCTCCAGAGGATCTTCCCAACCCAGGGACTGAACCCACATCTCTGAAGTCTCCTGCATTGGCAGACAGGTTCTTTGCCACCAGTGCCACTTGGAAAGCTCCCAATGGTGGTAACACCAAATGGAAATAAGGTTAGACAGGTGAGACAGGTAAATGATATGCTTGGATGCAAATATTAAAAAAAATTTTCATTGACTTAAACAAATAGGGATTTTATTTTTCTAATATAACAAAAGTTTTGGAGGCAGGTGATTCCTAGAAATTGTTGTGTCTCAGAGACATCAGGATTAAGTCTCTCTCTGCTAGTCTCTTGGATTTTTCCTCATGGTCACAAGATGGCTGCTATGGTTCTGGATATTGTATCTAAGCCCACAAAAGGAAGAAAGGAGAAAGAAAGGAACAGGAAGGGTCAAAACAACTGCATCATTTCCTTTGATCAAGAAAACAATGTTTTCCAAAGCTCCCCCTCCTACTTTGCTACATGTGCTTCATTTGCCCAGACTGGGTCACATAACCATTTCTGGCTGCAAGAATAATCAGACAAAATGAAAACAAGATGTCATGATTGGCTCCCACCAGTTTTGCACCACTGCCTAACCCAGGCACACTGCTACAATGTTAAGCTGAGGAAGAAGGAAGGAGGTGGATATTGGATAACCTAACTAAATTGTGGTATCAGATTTGGGCATTTTAGGATCAGAAGTTGGACACATAAGCATAGGGAACAAGGGCCTTCCAGGAATAAGGGACAGAGGAGCAGAAAATGTACAGAGCATGTAGAGAGAACATTAGATTTGACTGGGGTGTAGACAGTTTTGCTTTTGATAATCTATCCTATAGAAGTAAAACAACTGATTTCAAGGATATAGACGCAAAAAATATATTAGAGAAGAAATTCAGTTAACTACCTATATGACCATCAACAGGGAAGTGGCTGATTAAGTGAGGTATATCCACTGTATGGAATACAGGCGGTCCTTGACTTCAACGGTTTGACTTACGATTTTTTCAACTTTACAGTGGTATGAAAGTGACAGGCAAACAGTAGAAACTATACTTCGAATTTTCAATTTTGATTTTTTCCCAGGCTACTGATATGCAGTATGATAGTTTCCTGATGCTGAATAGCAGCAGTGAGCTGCCACTCCCAGTCAGCCCCACGATCACAATGTGAAAAAACTGATACATTACAACCATTCTGTACCCGTACAACCTTTATTTCTTTTCACTTTCAGTACAGTATTCAATAAATTACATGAGATATTCAACACTCTATTATAAAATATACCTGTATTAGGTGATTTTGCCCAACTGTAGACTTATGGAAGTCTACTGAGCACATTTAAGGTAGGCTAGGCTGAACTATGGTGTTGGTAGATTAGAAATATTAAATACGATTTCAACTGGATGATATGTTCAACTTTACCAGCTGAACTACCCGGGAAGCTAGGATGGGTTTATCAGGTAACTCCATCAGAAGTCATTGTACTATGCAGCTAAAAAAAGGAATAAATTAGCTCTCTATCTATAGACTCATTTTTTACTGAGAAAGAATGAACAAATTGCAGACAACTCTAGTATAACCATTTTGTATAAACAAGCAATAACATAAGAGCCCCATACATTTGAGTGTAATTTATATGAGAATGCTGAGCATGGTGCAGGGACAGAAGTTACACCCCAGGCTGTTAACACTGTATATCTCAGGAGACAGGGTGGGAAATGGAGAGGAAATGGGTGAGATCATGTTTTTCTTTATGTATCTTGAGAGCTTTGCTGGTTGACGTGAACATAGATATCGTTTATAACTTTGAAATGCAACTTAATCAAAGCAGTTTAAAAGAAGTTTAGAACTAAATTACAAAGTGTGAAGTGTTACATGTGGACAGAGGAGAGTCACTGAATATTTGGGGGCCAAGGAATGATGGGAGCAAGAAAATTAAGCTGGTAGCAGGAAGTATAATACATCAGGGGCAAGAGAGGCCAAGGATACACAGAATAATTAGAAGGTTCGTGCTGTAGCAGCTCAGCCAGAAGATAATAATGGACTAATAATACAGGGCTAATAACACATAGCAGTAATATGTGAAATGAGAAAAAGAAGGAGCCCAGGCTAGAGCCTTAGGACATACGAGCATGGAGGGTGGAAGGAGCAGTGATGGGGGAGGAATGTCTCCATTAAACTGTGTCAACCAACACATCATGCACTTTGAAAACCAAAATAAATAACTGGAAAACCATAGATATTGGTATATTTTCTTCCCCAACCTCCTTGATCATTGACTTGTTTTATATTTACAATATAAAGGCTCAGAATAGTCATTACTTTTCCATAAGTTTGTGCTATCTCCCTTATTAAACTGAAAAAAACACCCGAGATGTGAGACCACAAAGAATGCTTACTGGTAACCCCCAAAAGTGAAGTGAATCCCCAAAGATATCGTTCATTCAGCACAGCGGATGGTACTAATCAGTGTCCTTTTCTTCATTCATTTCTTGAAAGGACAGCTCCAGTCCCTGCCCTGTCAAGTTACCATCCAGTGAAGAAGACTCTCAACAGAAAATCCCATGTGGTAAGTGCAGTGAGCCAGGTGAAGAGGAGGGCACAAGTTCACTCTAGATAGAAGAGAAAGCCTTAGCAAGGTCCTGAGGTTACGCTGTATGGCACCTCTGAGTAACCAAAATGCAGCCACGGGTGGCAAAGACTCAGAATGCGGGGCAGAAGGAGACAGGAGAAACCTAGTCTGCCTTTTAAAACAATTTTTAAAGATCACTCTGGCTGCTGAAGAGCTAGAAGAGAAACAAGGAGGGGAGCTCAAAGGTCCAGTTTCCCCATCAGACTGGGAGCTGTCCAAGAGTTGAGCAGAGCCCACTTTATTTATTCCTTTCTCCTCCTCTGTGTGGGCCCCTCCTGCTCAGCAAGGCCTCAGATGCAGGTAGATGCAGTTAACAAGACAGCAGACACTCCCCCACAAAGTAAGTAAAAGCCCAGCAAGATTCCTCAAGAGTGATGAGTTGAGTTGCTGCGGGTCTGATGGAAAGGAGGAATGAGGATACGGATGAGATGCCCCGAGGCAAGGCCAATTTCTTCTCTCCATGCCTCAATTTCTTTATAAAACAGGCCATTCACGGTACTTACCTCAGAGTTAATGTTAGTGTCCGACAGAAAACAACCGTTCTAACAGAGTTAGCTTTTGTTTTTAACCTTCCTGAAAGACAGGTGGGACCTTATGGGCACGAAAATGTTTTCCCTGCTGTCTGAGGTATGACTGGTCTCAGATACCAGGGGTTCGAGAACCCCTGAGCCAGTCAGGTCTCGGGACTACCAAAAGACCTAAGTTCGACAAAGTTTTACCTGAGAGTTTGGGCCGGGGTATGTGCTTGTAGTCCTTTGATTTAAAAATCCTCAGATACAACGTTAGGCAGGGGAAAGGACCTGTCCACTGTCCTCCTGTGAGTCTTGGGTTGTGCGCCAAGGCGCTGGATCTCGCGGCGACATCCCGCGGCCCAGTCGGCGGGGGCGGAGCCCGGCGAGCCGGGGGCGGGCCGGCGGCGCGGAGGGGTGGGACCGGCACTGCAGCCCGCGGCCCCGCCCCCGGCGGAAGTGCCGCTAGGCCCGCCCCTCCCACCGGAGGCTGATTCCCCTCGCCCTTCCCCCGGCCCGCTCTGCGCTGCGCAGTTCGGCTCCTAGGGCGTGTAGGGCCGGGGCCCCACCACCAGTCCGGAGAGGAGGCCCCCGGGTCTGCATATCTGGCTGTCCCGGGTGGTACGTTATGTCACTTTCATTCCCCCGCCCTCCCTTCCATTCCTGCGTTACCGGCGCGGCAGCAGGCGCCGCGGGGAACCGCACAGGTAAAGACTCGGCTAGAGAGGGCGCAGGTGTGGGTCCCTCCCAGGCTGGACGGGTAGGGGAGAGGCTGACAGCACGTGCCCGGCTTTTTTTTTTTTTTTAATCAGAGCGATTGTATTGATTGTGGGACTCGGGGAGGGCGGACGCAGAACCCAGGAGCCCAGCACAGCACCCGGGTGACAGAGGGGGCGGGACTGAAGCCCCCAGAGCTTGGGGACCGGATCATTCGTGTCCCCGCGTCTTGCGCAGGCTCTGTTGTGTCTCAGAAGTGACGAGCTGGTTGGGTGGGGGCGGGTCGAGGCCGCGGCAGCGGACGGTTATTCCCCCCACCCGCTCCCCGAGGTGACTGCGGTCTGACAGTCGCCCCGCCCGGGCGCGCAGTCTTAGGTTTGCTGAATGAAAATCAATAAAAACCGATGCAATGGCAACGAACATGAAACACTTTGGTTGTTATTATTTGCGTTTGTTAAAGTATTAAAAAAAAAAAAACTTCCTTCTTGGAAGAGGTGGCTAGGATCAGAGCCTCGGAGACGGACTCAAAATGCCCCCTGGGCTCTAGGCATGGGGAGGGATCCCAAGCCGTGCAAACTTCCCGGAGCTGCTGTGAGGGGTCCAGCGGCGGTGGGCGAGCCCCCCAGGGCGCTGGGCTTCCGGATGCGGCTTTACTCTGCGCCTCATTGTCCGCACTTTAGGGCGATGGTGTGTCCCCCCCCCAAATCCATTCGCTTCTCCCCGGTTCACCACCCCCACGCCCCGGGGGCCGCGCCTCCTCCCCTCCCCTGAGTTCTCCCTGGCGCTTTAAATAATGATATTTGCATGCAGGGAGCGATTCATAAATATGTCAGGGCCGGTGAAATATAGGCAACATTTCAAACTTTCTATTTAAAAAACATGAATTATGGCCGCGGAAAATGTGTTCCCATTTAAAGGCGATACGAAGTATTTGGTGTCTCGTCCCCGGGCCCATCCATCACGCAGACAATAAAGAGAGTTTTTCGCCCTGACACCCGCGATTTATGGGCGCCCTTCTCTGCCCTCATCACTCACCCGCCGCGGCCGGCCGGGCGACAGGCCCCGCGGAGAGACCGGCGGCCCGCTCTCCCCCCGCGCGCGCAGTTTGCGCCCTCGTCAGCCCCCCAAGACCACCGCTCCCCAGGGGAAGCGCTGCTCTGGGAGGTCCACGGTGATGGTCTGGGCAGCCAAGTGGGCAGCCCAGTGGGAGACAGAACCATACTCATCCTCTCATCTCCGCGCAAGCCTCTCTCAAGGCTGGGATGAGCAGGCAGACGAGCGGCCTTGCGGGCTGGCTCTGCGTCCGGGCCTCGCCCGCCAACCGCGGCAGCGCGCGGGGAAGTTTGCAGTGCAGGCAGCAGGAGGTTATTTACGTGCGGTTTCGAGGTGAGGGGAAAGCGCCGGGCAGGGGACTCTCCAGGGGGGGCTCATTCTGCCCGGGAGAACTCGAGTTGGTCCCAAACTTTCTTGAGCTCTGCTGGGCGGACGCTTGTGGACAAAGCTTTCTGCAACTTTTACAAAGTCGCCTCCTCCCTGGTGCGATTCCCATAAACGCATCCTGGGAGTCCGCGGCACCTTGGAAACTGTTTTTTTACGGGGCAGGGCCCGAGAAGTTGGCGAGAAATAAGGAAAGGGAGGCGCCTTCCTTCGCGTTTTACCGCGGACCAAGCTCGGCCACCAGGTACCCTCTTTTGCCCACCTCCCCACTTTGCGCTCGGACACACCCCTAAAGCGCGCTGTCGTCTCAAAGCGACCGCCGAATCTCTGCTGCAAACTTGCTTTGAAGAAACTTCGAGCTCCGTCTGCCGTGGAATTCGCTTTCAATTTTCGCCCCGGGCGGACTTGGCCCCGGCGGGTTTCCGAAGCACCGGCAGAGGGTGGGGGCTGCGGGGCACTGCCGATCGGGAGAGACTGCTAAGGCCGCGGACGCTGATAGTCCAGCCTCCCTCGGAGGCCAGACCTGCAGCCTTCTGAGCACGGGGAGCCACCTCGCGTCCTGCGCTGGGTGGATGGGGCGTCTCCACACCCGGGAACCGGGAGCCGTTTCCTGCTGGATGCCTGAGAGCTGGATTTATTCTGATACAGGCAGCACACCCGCGGCCAGAGAAATTACGTCGATTCTAAAAATGACAAGGTTGAATTTATTAGATTAAGATTCATGTGTAAGTGCAGGGTGATGAAAATTATACAAACAGCTCCAAGTCCAGTGTGAACTGCAGGATCGCTTCCGGCTTCAAGGGCATGTAACATAACATCTGAATATTTAGATCTGTAGAGGGATATAAAATAGTATTAAATTCTCGGTGTGTGCACATATAGTTAAGTTGGGAAAATTCTGGAGCAAGTGTCATTTTACAGCCTCTGCTTGGGTGTAATTTGGGCTCGAGATAGCGCTTACGTCCAAATAACTACCCAGTGAATATATCCTACAGACAGAGCGAGTTCCTCATCTTCGAGGTGTGCCGCGGTATGTGTACCTCTTTAAATATCTGCGGCGTGGCAGAAGTGATATAAATACATTTAAGAAAAGCAGACGCGCAGATAATTGAGCCACTGCACGGATTACAACAAGGAAATAAATATTACTATTAGGTTGGCAGTGGAAAGTGTGAGCAAATGGGGGGCTTTCGGGAACGCGTGGAAGGGGCCACAGGTTCTGCAGCTACGGGCGCTCAGCAAGCTGAGGTGGGCTCTATTGGGATACCCGCTGCCTCGGACCTTGGGGCGACTACTGGGAGAGTCTCCGCCGGAACAGGCAACAATACCGCACCTTGGGGGTTCTCCCAGATAACGCGTGAAGATTCCGAAGCGCTGAAGCCAGCACTCCAGGTAGCAGGGCCTCAGGTCCTGCGGGCAGCCCCGCCCCCTTGGACACTTCAAGTACACCTTAATTCTGGCTCCACCAGGCTGGAGCAGTGCGCATTTAGGCCTACCGGTTTGGAGTAAAAGCGAAGAACAGGGCGGGTCTCGCTTGGTTCCGAGGCACCTCAAAACTCGAAGTCACAGGCCAAACGGAAGAAGGCCATGATTTCACACCCGTGTGGAATCCAAGCAGCGCCCGGCCCTTGGAAGGCCAGCTGAGGCTACAGAAGCAGTTATCTGGGCGTATTTACTTATGAAATGTTAGGCACCCCCTCACATACCCAGTACAGAGGCCCAGATGCCCCATAGGTCTCCCCCGCATATTTGCAAAGCCCAGGCAACGCCACCAGCTAGGTCAGAAACACTGCAGCTGTGAAATTCCAACACCAAATGCTAATTCCAGAATAGGGAGCCTGTGACCCTCCACCCATCTCACCACCTGGTCTTTCCCCCCCCCCCCCTCACCCCTCCAAATACACCCAACCCTTAAACAGGCGCAGAACTTCTGACAATCCCTGCTTGAGGAGAAATTAGGACTTGGTCCTGAATTCCAGGGAATTGCACACACTCCTGAGGCAACCCTGCCGCAGAGAAGTAACCCGGGCCCTGAGAATGCCCTGCTTCAGAGAGTGTGGTTGCGCTGAAGTGGTATATACCGTATAGTGAGAGGAGGGAGAGAGAACAGGAAACATTCCCTGGCTAGTAGAAGAAGTATAAATGAAGAGGGGGGAAAGGAAGAAAAGGCTGAGAGCCAAGAAAGAGTCAAAAGAGGAAACAAAAACGACAAGGGGGTGGGGGAAGAATCAGAAGAGGTGAGCCGAGAAGAGCGCAGGCCTTGGTGAGGCCCAGGGACCAGGCCAGGCGCTGGCAAAGGCAAACCTGGTACCTCCCCGGCCCCAGAGGAGGCTAGTGCCGCTGGGGACCGTCCCCCACCAGCCCAGCGAATCTCGGCTCGGCTCCCAGTCCGGAGGGGCGGGCCCGGGTCCAGTGGCCTCTGCGCGCCCTTTCTCTCCCCACTCCCGGGGGACCACGAAGCGGGGCGGGACGGGGAACAGGGGGTGCCCCAAGGGGCGCGCGCCAGTCCAGGACTGTTTGGACGCTCTGGGCCAGGCTTTCCAGCTCGCCGGGCCTGACCTGTCAGCCGGATTATCTTCGAGGGAGATTAATAGGGGAGGCGGGCTGCAATAATAATCGTTTTGTTTGATGTGACAACTCTGATAGGCGTTGATTTACTTACAAACTGATAGGCTTTTAATTGAGCGCCTCCGCCGAGCCAGAGATGAAAGGGAAGCGGCGGTGAAAGGCGGCCCGCCTGCCCTCCGGCCTCAATACTGATTAGCCATCTCGACAGTGAATAGTTCAAGGCATTTTCAAACTTTTTTCCTCAGCTCTCTCTCTTTCCTTCTCCTCCCACCCCCTCCTCAAATATCTGCCAAGCCTACTCCTTTTTTAGAGAAAACAAATCATTTCCATTGTGTGCAAATAAAATCCACGGGACATCCACGCCAATCGCCGCTGGGGGTTGGAGGCATTAGGCCCAGCGCGGAGTCACTAATAACCCCCCCCCAACCGCCACGGCCTCACGGCCTTCGGGTATTTGACCTCCCCTTCGAGGTGCGCAGGTTCGGATGCTGCAGCCTCCCGAAAACCCTGGGAGTGCAGACCCCCAGGCGCCCCCGTGCGCTCGGACCTTCGGAGTTCGATTTTTCGAAGAGCGAATGCGCGAAGACCAAGATCCGCGCGCGCGCGCTGCATCGTGCAGGCCTTAGAGCATGTGCGACCACACCGTGGCCCGCCATTCCAAGGGACACAGGGGCCACTCTCTGGTTCCCCCAGCTGCCGGGGGTAAAAAGAAAGCTGCTGGAATTCCAGGAGAGGGAAAGGACAAAGTCTGGAGACGGCTGGCTGGAGGGCTGGGAGAGGAGGGAAGGGAGGGTCCCCCGCGGTCACCTCACCTCCATCTCTGGACGCCGCCCCCAGCATCCTGTGTCCGGGCCTCGCCGGGAGGCTGCGGCGACGCGGGGCCCACGGCTGGGCTCGCGGGGCTGGGAGATCTACAGTTGATCTGGGCGACACTTCGACAACCACTAACCCAGTGACTCAGACGCTAACAGAGCACCAGGATACAGGCAGCCTCAAAGGGTCTGCTCTGCAGAGACAGAACCGTCCGGTTGTCAGAAACCGGCACCTGGGACTCGCTCCCCAAAGGTTATTTCAGACAGCCTTCACAACTTGGCATGTGGCCTCGCCACAGTCTCATGGACTCACCTTCCTCCGCTGTCGCACCGGCAAACACTCCAAAGCCCCTTGAACGGAGGTGTGTTCTTACACCTAAACACACGCACACATACACCGACAAACTCCTCATATACACACCGCCTCACTCCCCGCTTCTCCAGATTATCTTTAGTCAAGTTACCATCCCATGAAGTTTACCAACCTAAAGAATCAAGGGATAAAATTAAAACGCGTAAGAAGAATGCCTACGAGAAATTCTAAAACTCACCCCTAGAAAGTTCTCGGTACCTGTGCGGAGTGGGAGACAGAGACAAAAATGAGGGAGGGAGGAATGGGGTGGTGAGAGTGGAGAACGCGAGCACCCCGAGGGCAGGTCCCAGACCCGACTTCGGCTCGGCGCCGACGGGGCACCGGCCGGGGGAGCGAGGGTGGAAACCGGGTCTCAAGGCCCGGCCCCCGCCCCCGCCCCCCAGCGCGGGTACAGACCGGCTCCCGGCTCCCCAGCGCTCCCAGCCCCACCATTTATCAAAAGGACTTGACAACAAAAGAAGAGCCGGGGCGGAAAAGGGGGGGAGGGGAGAGTCAAAGTCTTCCAAGTCCTTCTGAGGAAGGGGATGTACCCTCCTCTCGCCCCCTTCCAGTTTCTGCGAGTTTTTGGAGGTCACCCCACCCCCTCGAATTCGCTCCGGACGCTACCAAAGCCCTGACAACTCACACAGCGGCACAGGCATTCATACACACTTCTGCACTCAGATCCAGGTACACGGAGGCACGCGGAGCGCCTCCCCTCTGCCTTCCCAACGGCCCGACTGACGGTGCAAATCGAGGGGAACACGGCGGTCCCGCTCCGCTTCCCTGGAAGAGCCGGTTGTTTCCACAGGCAGCCGCCCCCCCCCCCCCCCCGAACACACACACCACCCGCCCCCTCTCTCTTGCTTCTTCCCTCCGCTCTCCCCGAGCTGGTCAGTCCTGGCTCGGCGTTTCAATCAATTCGAGTGAGCAGCCCGGAGTAACCCTGGCTACCAAGACCGCGGGGATGGCAGGGGGTGAGGGAGGGCTGGAGAGGGGACCTGAGTGAGCCTGGAACGTATCTGCCCCGAACACACACGTCAGGCCTCTTCTTCGCAGCCTCTCAGCCCTAGCCACGACGGGGGACGGGTGTCAAAGAACTGAGGCGGGGGTACCCCACCACTGACCTCCAGAACTCAAGGCTACGTTGGTAACGTGGCTCTTAGAAAGAAGCCTCCGAGTTTGGAGTCAGGGCACTGGGGAGGGGGGAGAGGGGGCCAGTTGGCACTGACGGCTGCACTCTGCGAGCCCCGAGGGGACTACCATGGCTTGGGGTGGGGGTGGGGGGTAAAAAATCTCCCGTGTTGGACGTCGCCACCGCCTGTCTCGGGTACCGAGAGCGCTCCGGACTCTGCGTGCGGCCCCAAAGGAACGGGATCCCCAGAGGTGGAAGGGTGTTCTCTCTCTCTCCAATACCTAGAGGAGCGAGGCGCACACCCCAGGCCAGTGCACCCTTCTCAGCGCCCTGGGCGCACCTGCGCACTTTACTCTCACTATTCATTTTCCTGACACTGAGCGCCTTTTTCTCTCCTTTCATTCTTTTTCTTAGAGCCCCCGCCTCTCATCCCAGGAGGCTGCTCCTTTCCCCCTCCTTCAGTTCCCCCTCAGTCTCTTCCTTCCTCTGCGTCTCTCTCTCTCTCCCTCTCCCTTTTTCCCTTCAAGTCGCACCCGCCTTGTAATCAGCAACAAAAGCTGACATAAATCACCGGCGGATTGACAAGAGCTGACAAATAACTGATTGATTGCGGTCGGGGAACATTGACAATTGATGGAGGGGTGGAGATGCCCAGAGAACTCGGGAGGAGGGACGCGGGTAGAAGAAGAGAGGGTGGCAGGGGAGAGTAAGAATTGTTGGGGGGGGGGGGGGGGGCTGAGTGTGAAACAGAGGAAACATGTGACCCCCCTCCTGCCCCAATCTGCGCATCTCCGGGCGTCACGTGGCCGGGAAGGGCGGGGAACCTAGCAGAGAGCCGAGAAGTGCCTTCACCGCCTCCGCTGCCCACCTAGCTTCTGGTTTCTCCGCCGCCGAACCCCGGGAAATCAAAGCGGGCGGGCGGACTTCCTCCAACACTCGCTCCCCACCTTTCCTTACCCAGGAGGCTGCACCGCAGGAGATTTCAATTACTGAGGCGGGGGAGAGAATACTTAGGGGTGCGGACCTCCTTTGCGGCCCTGGAGTTGACAGTCCGGCCGTAGTCCAGACTCCTGCTAGTGCTCCTTCTGAACACCCTCAAACTGTTCCTTGCAAGCAACCTCCTGCAAAAGAAGGTTTCAGTTTATTCTCCAGCTGGGGAAAAGGAAGGACGACGAGGAAGAAAAGAGAGGGAGGCGGCAGATAGCAAACGTAGAATAAATGTCCAGCTCGTCCTCCGAGCGAAATCAAGGGAGGGGACAAGCTGGGGGAGCGGCGAAGACGGAGCTGCCCATTAAAACCAGCGCTGAGAGTCCTGGCGGCGGCGGCGGCGCGGGACGCGTCACATCCCCTTGACCCTCCAATCACCTCGGGCTCCCATTTGATTGGAAGGCGGCAAAGGCTTTAATCTCCCCCTCTGTGCAGCTGCTTTTGAAGTGAGTTTCCTCGCCAGAGCCCCGGCTGGACAGGCAGAGGCTCACATCGCGGAGAGCAGCGCCAGCGCCGGGCCGCGAGTGCGCAGCGCAGGGGCACAGCCCGAGGCCGACACGGCTAGCCACCCGGCACTCCCGCAGTCGGGCTGGCTCCTCCCGCTCGGCCACGGCTCCGCAGCGGGCCACCCAGGATTATTCGCTTGTGGCTCCAGGCGCCAAGAAGGCGCGCTGGGCGCCGGTGACCGCCGCACCAGCTCCACCTCCTCCTGCTGCTCCTGCTCCCCGGGCGAGAGCGCAGCCCGGAGCCCGCCCCGCGCCTCCTGGAGCCCTCCCCCCGCTGCTCCCATGCGCGCGGGTGGGTCATGAGCACAGCGCCCTCGCTTTCTGCCTTAAGAAGCAGTAAGCACAGCGGCAGCGGCGGCGGCAGCAGCAGCGCGGACCCTGCCTGGACCAGCGCGCTCTCTGGAAATAGCTCCGGCCCCGGCCCAGGCTCGTCCCCGGCCGGCAGCACCAAGCCTTTTGTGCACGCCGTGCCCCCCTCTGACCCTCTCCGCCAGGCTAACCGCCTGCCCATCAAGGTGCTGAAGATGCTGACGGCACGGACTGGCCACATTTTGCACCCTGAGTACCTGCAGCCCCTGCCTTCCACTCCGGTCAGCCCCATAGAGGTAAGGACCCTATCCCCGGATCGCGCTGGGACCACCACCTTGGCTGCCCTCCACGGGATTTCTTTCTCTTGGGATCTGCGGGGGGGGGGCGGGGGTTCGGAGTGATTCAGCTCCGGGATGAGGGGAGAGGATCGTGCTCCCGCACCTTAAACTAGGGCGGAAAGAGGGGAAGAGGTAGAATGGGGTGTGAATGCTAGGAGCCAAGGCAATCAAAACTTGTCTCTCCCTTTGGTGTTAAAGCCCCTACCTCGACCCAGGCCCCCTCACTCTCAGGCCAGAAGACAGACGGGAGTCCAAAATACGGTTCCAAAGTCCCGGTCCTCCGGTTCCCCAGAAGCTGGTATTTGTACACAGCCTCTAAGGCGCCAACGACCCGAGCCCTTACTCTGAAGTATTAGGGATGGGGGGGGGTGGGGAGTACAGTTCTGGGTGAAAGAGTCAGAAACCAAAACATTTTTCGAGTTTTTTTTTTTTTTAATCCAGTTATCGCTTAGAGAGGACAGGAAAGATCCTGGTGGCGGGGCTGGGGGTGGGGTGGGGTTGAGGGGGGGTTATTGTGGCCTTTCGCAAGAAAGAGAATGTGTGTGTAGAAGGGGTGTCGCCTAGATTTGCGCCTTGGGGCTGGAAGGATCTTTACGGGTCGTGGCGGAGGTGCTCTCGGAACCTAGAAGGCAGGATTCTAAAGGGTTTCCCCTTCTTTCTTTGTGCCCCCCCCCCTCCACGTCTGACCCTGCAGCTCGATGCCAAGAAGAGCCCGCTGGCGCTGTTGGCCCAAACATGCTCGCAGATCGGGAAGCCCGACCCCTCGCCCTCGTCCAAACTCTCCTCAGTCGCCTCCAACGGGGGCGGCACGGGCGGTGCCGGCGGCGGCGCCGGGGGCGACAAGGACGCCAAGTCGGGCCCCCTCAAGCTGAGCGACATCGGCGTGGAAGACAAGTCGAGTTTCAAGCCGTACTCCAAACCCGGCTCGGATAAGAAAGAGCCGGGAGGCAGCGGTGGCGGCGGAGGAGGGGGCGGCGGGGGCGGCGGCGGGGGGGTTTCGGCGGAGAAGTCCGGATTCCGGGTACCGAGCGCCACCTGCCAGCCATTCACGCCCAGGACAGGCAGCCCAAGCTCCAGCGCCTCGGCCTGCTCGCCAGGAGGCATGCTGCCTTCGGCCGGGGGCGGCCCGGACGGCAAGGACGACAAGAAGGACCCCGAGGCGGGCGGCGGCGGTGGCGGCAGCAAGGGCTCCGGGGGCGCCTCGGCCGAAGGGGGACCCACGGGGCTGGCGCACGGCCGGATTAGCTGTGGCGGCGGGATCAATGTGGACGTGAACCAACACCCAGATGGGGGCCCCGGGGGCAAGGCTCTAGGCTCGGACTGCGGCGGCTCATCGGGCTCCGGCTCTGGCTCCGGCCCCAGCGCGCCCACCTCCTCCTCGGTGTTGGGCTCTGGGCTGGTGGCGCCCGTGTCGCCCTACAAGCCGGGCCAGACAGTGTTCCCTCTGCCTCCCGCGGGCATGACCTACCCAGGGAGCCTGGCTGGGGCCTACGCCGGCTACCCGCCCCAGTTCCTGCCACACGGCGTGGCGCTCGACCCCACCAAGCCGGGCAGCCTAGTGGGGGCTCAGCTGGCGGCGGCCGCGGCGGGCTCTCTGGGCTGCAGCAAGCCCGCGGGCTCGAGCCCCTTGGCCGGAGCGTCACCGCCGTCCGTGATGACAGCCAGTTTGTGCCGGGACCCCTACTGCCTCAGCTACCACTGTGCCAGTCACCTGGCTGGGGCGGCAGCAGCCAGCGCGTCGTGCGCTCACGATCCAGCCGCGGCGGCGGCGGCCCTCAAGTCCGGATACCCGCTGGTGTACCCCACGCACCCGCTGCACGGCGTGCACTCCTCGCTCACCGCGGCCGCGGCTGCCGGCGCCACACCGCCCTCTTTGGCCGGCCACCCCCTCTACCCCTACGGCTTCATGCTCCCTAACGACCCGCTCCCCCACATCTGCAACTGGGTGTCGGCCAACGGGCCTTGCGACAAGCGCTTCGCTACGTCTGAAGAGCTGCTGAGCCACTTGCGGACCCACACGGCCTTCCCCGGGACAGACAAACTGCTGTCGGGCTACCCCAGCTCCTCGTCTCTGGCCAGCGCCGCAGCGGCCGCCATGGCTTGCCACATGCACATCCCCACGTCGGGCGCTCCGGGCAGCCCCGGGACGCTGGCGCTGCGCAGCCCCCACCACGCGCTGGGACTCAGCAGCCGCTACCACCCCTACTCCAAGAGCCCGCTCCCCACGCCGGGTGCGCCCGTGCCCGTGCCCGCCGCCACCGGACCATACTACTCCCCCTATGCCCTCTACGGACAGAGACTGACCACGGCCTCGGCGCTGGGGTACCAGTGAGGGCGGTCTCCAGGGCTATCGAGGGAAAGAAAAGAACTGGGGGGTGAGGAGGGGCCGAGGGAGGGGCGGGAACAGGACCAAGGCGACTGTCACCCGCGCGTGGGGATGACCCGGGCCAGGAAAGGAAAAATATATATATACTGTATCTATCTACCCGAAACAGCGACCGAGACCCGGTGGGAAAGTCCCCTTTCCCCCACCTCTCATCTCCCCACCCAAACTTTATAAAAGTTGAAAAAAAAAATATCATTTGACTTTTTATAGAAAAAGAAGGAAAAAATAATTGAGAAAGTGTTCATCTGAGGACTGCATCGGTGGACACTGGTATTTATTTATGTTAGCTCCAAGCGGACCCGTGGTTCAAAAGTGCATTACTTAGTTTGAGCTCTGTAGGTAAAAAGGAAGAAGGGGGAAAAATTAAAACTTGAGGGTTAAAAATGTGGAAAACAAACCCTCCCATCCCTTGTAGATTATAAATAAATACAAAACCGCCACAGAACTAGAGGTCTTCTCTTTAATGTTACTTTAAAATTGCTATGATTGTATTGTACGTTCTTATTTAATGTCTGATTGAAACACAAATTTACATGCATGTTTGTTACAAAAATGAAAAAAAAAAACAAAACAAGTCACAATTTGTCAGCTCTGATTTCAAATTGCAATTATTTTTAAGGTGTATACCATCAAAAGAGAATGGGTATTTTTTTGTATGTATTCTGGAAGAAAACGAAAAAAAAAAAAAAGGAAAAACAATTCTATTCCAAAACCTCATTTGCCTTATTTTGTTCTTTAAAAGGAACACTTAACTATTTTTAATTTTTAAGTCCACCCGCTGAAAAGGGGACAAGGTTTACGTCATGTACTAAAATAATAGACAATGTATCGCTTTAAAGATTAAAATTCCGTATATTTGATGTATTAAAAGGTTTTACTACTTCTTCTTATCTTTTTTTTTTTTTTTTTTTTTTTGGTTAAAGAGAAAGAAGAGCATGGCAATTTCGGCCACAGTGGGTTTCCTGGGCCTCACGGCTATTCCTTCTTCCCAGGACCGTGGTCGAAATTCCGGTTGTTTTCTTGTGATTTTCAGGAAGGGCTGGCCTTGGAGGAAATATTTTTAAACGGGATTTCACAATTTGGAAAGATAGTGTCCTTAGCTATCGCTCATTTCGTTTTTTTCTCCCAGTAGCTGGTTTGTTAAAAGTGAAAGGGGAAAGGGGGGATTTAAAAAAAAATCCCTCTGAAGATTTTGAGGAGTTTGGGTTTCGTTTTGTGCAGAGAGCGGCGCAGGTCCGGACTCGCCCTCCCAGCTTCGGCCCGGGGGAGGTGCCGCTGCCCGCAGTTCCTCTCTGCTTTCCTACCATCATCGGTTACGGGCGGGCAGCCGGGAATGATAGGCGGTCGGAGGGTGCTTGGGAACCTGTTTCCTGGGCCTGGGGAGGAGATCGCGCTGGAGCCCTCTTGTCCCTCCGAGGAAAATGAGTTCGCTTTCCTTTTCTTCATCTGGCTGCCGAGGGCTAGAGGCGGCCACCAGCCGACCCCTCCAGCCAACGCTCTCCCCCCGCGGTTCCCTCCTCTCTCCCGAGTCGGGACCCGCGTCAGGCCGGCGCCGAAGCTGCTTTTCCGAATCCCGATTTCTCTGCAGTCTACGCTCTATCCCAGTCTGCGCCGCAGGAGAAAGCGCCGGGGCCCGGGACCCGGAAGCCCCTTCCAGTTCGACCCCGCAAGGGTCCTGGCGCCCAGTGTCAGCCTCGCTGGGGCGACCTGGTGGACGCGGAGCGCAGTTCTGGGTCGCGAGCTCCGCTCGGCAAAGTCGCGGCGTGACCCTCCGTCCCGGAACGATTCCCGCAGCGCGCACCGCTACCTTCTCCCCAGCTTGTGCGGCGGGACTGAGCTGCCTGAAGAGCCCCTGGAACCAGGCAGAAAAGAGGTCTAATCTTCGTGTGGTGTGCGCGCGCGTGTGTGTATGTTTTGGGGCGGGGTGGGAGTGGGGGGGGTCCAAGGCCCAGCCCCCACCCCGACCGCGATCACACACTCATACCCCAGACCCGGGCGCGAGTCCTGCTCTGTGGTTGTTGGGCGCTCTCCCCGGCGGGTCCGCGGGAGTTTGGTCCAGAGCGCACCTTTTCTGGGATCCTGGGGCCTCGGAGTCGCGGCGCTGAGCGCGGACCCCGAACTCTCCCCTCCCCAGGGTCAGGCCGTTCTGGGTTCTCCGAGCCACCGGCCTCCCTCGGCGTCAGGCTCCCCCTGCTGCCTCGGGAAGCTCACCGCCGCTCAAAGGCCGCCTTCGGCCTCGGGCCTCGGTCAGTCAACCGCACGGCCCCCGCAGCCATTTGTTCGGGGGTTGGTGACTCTGAGATTTTTCCACCCTCCTCCCAGCATCAGCCTCACGCCTGCGGGGCCTTTTCCCGGGTTGCACGCAAAGCGGGCCCGGCGACCTCCGGGACGCCTCTCAGGCCTCCGCCTGGAGAAGACTTCATAGAGGAAGACTCGGGCTCCGTACCGCCTACCCCGAGGGGGCAGCCTCCAGCGCCTCCGAGCCGTCTGCCCGCCTCGCGCCCGGGACGCTGCAGCCCAGCTCCCACTCTGATCCGGCTAAGAGAAGCTGGGCTGGGCCCGGCTTATCGAGAACCCCGGCCGATGGGGTTGCTTGTCACCTCCAGGCTCTCGGACACACACACACACATACACTCAGGATAGGAGGACCTTCGAGGAGGTGGTGCGGCCCGGGTCCCGGGGACTCAAGTGCCCACCCTTGCGACGTGAAAGCCAGGCCCTAGTTCACCCCTCACCAGCACCAGCTCCAAGCCCCTGGTCATTCCGACCCACACGCTTCGCCTTCCTTGGCCTCGCATCTTCCGACAGGGACACCACGCCTCGCCAGCAGGGACCCACTTGGGCGGGAAGGGCCTAGAAATTCCCCCAGCCCTGGAATTTCAGGCCTGGGACCGTCAGGGAGACAAACTAGGCCCTCTCGTGCCTTTACGCCCTCTCTTGGTATTTTGGTATAGTAACAAAAATCAAACCCAAAACGCCTTAAAATTTTAATGAGACCTCCTTCCCGGAGAAGTTACTCAGAGGCAGCAACATTCCGGAGCTGGGGCCGGGGATCGGGGATGGTCCCCCGACGTGTGCGACGGAGCTGTCACCCCAGGCGCGGGGTTGGTAAGGAGAGGGTTCCGGTATGTGCTGCAGGTCCAGTCCAGGCGCGACCCCCTCGGGAAAAAGACGCCCCATCCTCACTGCGGGCCCCTGGCTCTCTCCCCCTGTCTGCTGAACTGCGGCAGGATGCCCCGCGCGCCCGGCGGCTACCGCCAAAGCCAGAGCGGAGCGCAGTGTGTCCGCCAGGCGGCGCTGCGGAGCCCGGCGGAGCGGGCGGGAGACCCGGAACCCTGGCCAGCTCGCGCGACGCAGGGTGGGTGGTCAGACAGAGACCCCGCGCCTCCACGTTAGCACGGTTTTCCGAGCGGTGTCCGGTAGCTCTCTCCTGGTAGTTCCTCGCTCCTCTCCCGCTCTGAACCACGTCCTCTGCGCTTCTCCACCTGCTCTAGCTTCTGCTGTTGTGTTCCCCGTGCTCTTTCTCTACCCCAGAGGAGTTGGCCCAGGTGTCCAGGGCCCCTCTCCAAGCCGGGGAGCTCCCACCACCATCATCAAGGCTCTGACAGGTCACTTTGTCATAGTGAAGTGAATCTCACCCATTCATGCATCCATTCACTTCTATTCTCTGATTATTTCCTATGACCTAACCCCTCGCCGAGAAGGCAATGGCACCCCACTCCAGTACCCTTGCCTGGAAAATCCCAAGGACGGAGGAGCCTGGTAGGCTGCGGTCCATGGGGTCGCTAAGAGTCGGACACGACTGAGCGACTTCACTTTCACTTTTCACTTTCATGCATTGGAGAAGGAAATGGCAACCCACCCCAGTGTTCTTGCCTGGAGAATCCCAGGGATTGGGGAGCCTGGTGGGCTGCCGTCTGTGGGGTCGCACAGAGTCGGACACAACTGAAGCGACTTAGCAGCAGCAGCAGCAACCCCTCGCCAAGGGCTTCCCATCTCTATTCATTCCTGACACAGATGGAGAAACTAAGGCTAAATCCTGGAAGCCAAGGGCAAGGCCAGCAGAGAAAGCCCAAGCCTTTCTCTCCATTCAACACCTCCACCCATCTGTACCTCTGGCAGTGACATTGAGTGACCCTGATGTCTTTGTGCTGGGTGGTCTTTAAGCAGTGAGGAAAGGCAGATTTAAAAAAAAAAAAAGCCATTGTGCTTTGGAAAAGGTATAAAAATTGCCCAGAAGACAAGGCCTGTCCCTGTGAGGCTACCTGATGGCCAGCCTCTTCTGCCGTATTGGCTTAGGGCTCCTCACCTCCCATGCCTAGAGGCCTGGTGATGCTCAGAGTGACTATAAAATGCAGACTGACCTGCTCATGCTTATGTCCAGCCAGACTATCCTGTATTATCCCATTTAAACTTCACAGCAATTCCATGAGGTTGATAGAAGCTTTACCCCCATTTTACAGATGAGGAAACTGAGGCTCGGCAGGGAAAGGATACTAGCTAGTGAATGATGGAGTCAAGGCAGAGGTTCTCACCTTGGCTGCCGTCACCTGAGGCGATTTTAAAGTATAACAATGCCTGGAAGGCAGAGACTCTGATTCACCTGGGAGAGAGTGTGGTAGACAGAATTGTTTTATTTTTCTTTTTAAGTTCTTAGCATTTTGTTGTTGTTGTTATGTTACTTTTTTTCCCCTGAACTTTTTGGCCACCCGGCATGTGGAATCTTAGTTCCCTGACCAGGAATCAAACCTGCGCTCCCTGCAGTGGAAGCGTGGAGTCTTAACTGCTGGACTGCCAGGGCAGTCCCTTATTTTACTTTTTATTATGGAGGTTTTGGAACATCCACGAAAGTAGAAGGAATGGTATACTAGATCCCCACAAACCCATCACCCAGGCTCAACAGGTATCAGCTCATGGCCAATCTTGTTTCTTCTCTACTTCTCCTATTTGTCTCTCCACACCATTAACTGGAAGTGAATACAGACATCCTATCATTTCACATCCTTAGGTGTATGTCACTTCCTGCCAGGCTCCCAAGCTAGGGCTCATCCCCCCTCTCAGCTGAGGCTTCAATTCAGTGAGTGCACAGCAAAGCTGGGGTTCAAACCCATTTCTATCAGACCCAGAGCCCGAGCACTTCACCTACCCTGTGCAGGGGAATCCCCCAAAATCCTGGGGCTACTGATCTCTCTCCCCCCAGTGTGAACCCAGGGCTTACGCAGGGGTTGTCTGGTCTGTAGGAAGACTCTTGAGCCCCTGGTGAGGCAGCAGGACTGTGGGATACTCATAGCGCAAAGGGTATCTTGAGAGTGAGAACAGCTCAAAGCCACATGGTACAGTGTGAAGAGCACACATTTGGGGGCAGGCTGGCCTAAAATTGAACTTTTAGCTCCACCCAGCCCTGGTTCAAACTCTATGACTCAATTTATTTGAGCCTCAGTTGTCTCCTCTGTAAAGTGGGGATGAAAGTGTTAGTTGCTCCGTCATATCTGACTCTGCAATGCCATGGATTGTAGCCTGGCAGGCTCGTCTCTGGTCATGGAATTTTCCAGGCAAGAATACTGGAGTGGTTTGCCATTTCCTTTTCCAGAGGATCTTCCCAACCCAGGGATCGAATCTGGGTTTCCTGCATTACAGGCAGATTCTTTACCATCTGAGCTACCAACTGATGCCAACTTTATAGGGTTGTTGTGAGGCTTCAATGAAATAATTAACGGGAAAATCCCCTATCTTCTGTCTGGCCTGTACTGGCTCTTAGAAGACAGATTTCTTTCCTTCTTCTCTTTCCAAAGTACAGTTTCATTATGATCAGCCCTGTTGCTCAAGAACTAACTGTGGCTCCTTGTGGTTCACTGGGTCAAATTCTCACTCTACTATCTGGCCATCTTCTGACCTGGCCTCTCTGCCTGTCCTACCTTGTGTCTCACCAGCCTTCACAGTCCAGACCCTCTGCCAGCCAGCTAGCCCCCCAGCCCCTTTGATGATGGTGCTCATCATACACTACTTCCCTGGAATGCCTTCCTCCCTCCCCATCCTTCCAAACTTTCTTAAGACCCATCTCTTCCAGGAAGCCCTCCAGGTTTCCCCCTGACCACACACTGATCTTTCACTCAGCACTTAATGCCATGGCAGAAGGTGGACGAATAAAGGCCACCAGACTAGGGATGAGGACCCTTGGGTTTGGTGCCTCTTCATGGTTATATGACCAGGGACAAATCACTTATGGCCTCTGTGAAACTAGTCTCCCAGACTGATATTTGTCTACGCACATTTACCAACAGTAATAATTTAATAAGCAGCATGCACTGCATGTCTACTTCCAGGCACTCATCTAGCCCTATTATTACCTCTGTCCTTTTACAGGTGAGGAAACTGAGCATTAGAGAGAAGTCACATGTCTGCTCCAGCAATGGGGTCCTTAACCACTGTACTGCACTGTGCTAGCTCCTGGGCCTGGAATCTTGGTCCTCGGCCTTCTTTTCCTAATTGCCAGTAACTCAAAACTCCTATTTCAAACCTCAGGCAGTGTCACCTCTTCTGGGAAGTCCCCCAGGTCCTTCCACTGGATTCAGTGCCTTCTCTTTGCTCCTGTAGCACCTGTCCATCCCATCATACTCCCTTTACACTTTGCTCCCAGCCTGAACTCTGAGGCACTGGAGAGGAGGGACTGTCTCCTCTTCCCGTTTCTAGTAGCGCCAGCTGGCTTGGTTCCTGGAACCTAGTAGATGTTCAATAAATGTTAGAGGGAAGGAAGGAAAGGGAGGTAAAGAAGAGAGAGAGGGAGAGGAAGACAGAGGAAAACAAAAAGACAGAATGGAGGAAAGATGCAAAAGAACTGGGCTGGCTTGGGCAGGATGACCCTTCCGAAGAGAGGAGGACCAGCAGCAGTGGGCTAGGGGAGACTTTGATGTCTTTGCCCACGGCACAAAATGAGGCCTGGGAAGTTTCCATACATCAGTTAGAAACTGCATTTGCTGACAATAATGAAGACCCTGAAAGAGTGGCTTGAAGGAGATAAACATTCTCTTCTCTCAGTCTGGAGGTGGACGGTCCAAGCTAAGAATGGCCCTCAGTCATGAAGGACCCAGGGTCCTCTGCCTTCCTCAATACCAGCTCAATCAGGAAGACTTCATCCTCACGTGGTCTCTGAGTTCAGGATGGCTGCTGGAGCTCAGCCATTATCACCTCATTACAGTCAGCCGGAAGGAGAAGGGAGAAGAGGTAAAAAGGGTCCACTCCTTTCTAATGGGTCTTTCTGGAATCCACAGACAACTCCTCAGCTCACACCCCATTAGGAAGAACTAGCCACGTGGCCATGCTTAGCTGCAGAGGAAGCTGGGGAGCATAATGTTAGCTGGGTGCACTGCTGCCACAAATAAAGTCAGGGTTCTGATACTCAAGGGAGCAAAAAGGGTGGGAACTGGGACAGGACATTAGCAGACTCCCCTGCAATCCACAGATAGGTTAACCTAGAACTGGAATCAGGAGAGAGCTTTCTTGGTGGTGGCCTTCCAGGGGGTCACTATTTGATGACTTGCTTCTTTAAACCACAGATCCTTATTGATAAAGTGGGCAGGGGTGGTACTAATAAGCCCTCAGAAGTTGTAATTCTTGTCCCCTCTAGGGGACAAGAGTTGTATACTGCAATGATTTAGAGTGGGATTTATCAAAAAGTAATTTTTATTCCTATAAAGATCTTCAGTTAGAGACCCGTTCATTTTGCACCCCGCACAAAATACTAAGCTAAGAAGAAGGGATCATATTTGTTAAAAGAAAAAAAAAAAAAACAGCAACAACAACAACAAGGAAAACAAAAATCTCAGGGGGTGAAAGGGAGTAGCATTGTAAACCTACCCCCCACCTCCTTTCCACCTTATTTGCAAAAATATAGTCTCCAACTCAAAGCAGAGACAGCCCAGTGCTCATGTAACTTTGCACTAACTTTACCTTAAATAATTACAGTGTAACTACAGAAATGTAAAAGAAACAAGACACAACCAAACAAACATTGCTGAATCATAGTGACACCCGAGTGGGTTCTAATCATGCCTCCACACACCCATACAGCAGCGGTCCTTGGAACAGGGTCCTGGGAAGTGAGGAGAGGTGGCGGAGTAGGGAAGGCAAGAGGAGACTCCTTGGGCTGGAAAGGGTAAGGAAAAATCAGGAACAGAGATCTGTGCATGTGAGCAGATTGGCTGCCCTGTTGCTGGAAGCTTCCTCAGCCTTTGGTCTCAAAAAGGGAAACATTTCAGGGTTCTGGGCTGACTTTGCATGTCTCTCTCTTTCTCTGCCATTTTTCTTTCACATGCTTCATAAACATCTCTCCCTAACATTCTACAGGGGTGATTCCTGTGGTATGGGAATTCTATACCCTCCACATCACTAGTTCTTAAGCCCTTTGTGGGTTGAGGGAAGGACGCAGAAACCCCAACCTTTTTTGAAAATTCGATAAAAGCAATGGCCCCTCTTTATAGAAATAAATACACATACTCAACATTGGAAAAATAATTTCAGGGGGCTCATGGACCTGCAGATTTTCAATCCTTGATCTTAAAGGAAATCCAAGATTTAAATAAAAAATTAAAAAAAAATATGCCCTTGGGAAACACCCTGAGGCACTCTGGGCTTTCCTTTCTAAATTTTTCTCACCAAAGCTACATTCCAACTACTCTGTAGCGATTAACTCTAACAACTTATGTCAACCTACCACAGGCCAGTGTTAACCTTTGCAACCTTCACAAAAATTCTATGAAGTGGGCACTATCATTGGCCCCACTTTATGGTGAGGAAACTGAGGCACAGAGAGATTAAAATGACTTGCCCAAGATAACACAGCCAGGAAGTGGCAGAGCTGAGACCGTGTTATAGGCTGTTGGAGTCCAGGGCCATTCGTTGCACGCTGTCCCCCACTGTGGGTGGCCCTTACTTCTCTGTACACTGAAGCCCCATAAACTTGCCTAACACTAGCGCAGGTATCAGCAGCATGATGGAATTGGCTCATACTGGCTCACAAGAGCCAGCTGTGAACCTCTTCCCAGCTCCTCATTCTGTGGTATTATGTTGATAGCTTGAAATTTGCCATGGTGGGAATATTTACACCATAGCAATTTGCAAACATTGTAAGTGAAGGCTTTTTTTCCCCAAGAGAGCTGGTTATTAAGCATTTATTAGCACATCACTGGACACACATACTCTAGTCCCACTGCAACCTGCACATCCGACCACTCAGATCCCGAGTCCGTGGGAAGCGAGGATCTTCCTTCCAGTCAGTGAGGAGGATTTGGATGGGGTCTGCTTCCCCCAGGCTTAGTGCAGGGGGTAATTAGGGAGACTGCAGCCTCCTCTCTGACCTCAGAGTAGGTAGGGTATCTTCCAGTTGCCCTTACCTGTCCTAGAACCTGGGACTGGTCACCTGGAGTCCAGATCCTTTACAACACCTGGCCGCCCACCTGATATGGCAGGTGGGGGGGTGGTGCTTGGCTGCGAGAAGCTTCAGTGACCTTCCCAGCTCAGTACCCCTGCCACTGAACCCTTAGCAACTAACACCAGCCAGCTCTGGTTTAACCCTTTCCCTTTGGGGTGAGCCACAGGCAGCTGGACCCTTCCTCCAGCCTCACTAGAAACCAGCCCTGCTCCCTCTCCTCTACCTTCTGGGAGCAGCCAGCAAACTGCCCAGCTGTGACCAGGACAGTGGTGACAATGTGCACTCGCTACCTTTGGTCCATAGAGAAACCCCATCCAGCAGCAAGGATTCCAGTGGGCCAGGCATAGGGTGGAGGCTTCCCTGGTGCCCTCACCAAGCAGAGTCTCAGACCACAGGAAGGAAATGGATTATTATGATTATTATCATTTAGTGAGAATTTTCCTCATGCCAAGAGCTTTATATTACTTTATATTATCTTTTTTTAATCCCTACAAGATCCCTAGGAGATAGTGCTATATTAACCCCCTGTTAGAAAACTGAGATTCAGAAAGGTTAGGTAACATGCCAGAAGTCACACAGCCAACAAGTGGTGAGCGAAAATTCAAGGCCAGAACTGTCTCACTCCAAAGCCCATGCCTTAAAACCTGTGTACTTCAACTGACAGGTTCTGCTTCCTTCCCCAGCCCCCAGGGAAATGTGGGAAGGGCAGCCCCTCTGGCCTCCCGGTTCCTGGGGACATCTCCAAGGGCAGAGGGAAGACAACCTTGGTCACCTGTGGCAAAACCACTGCCCAGTCCAAGGTGTGGTCCACCAGACATAGAAAGCGAGTATTCACTGGCAAGCACATCAGGAGTCCCTGCTGCATACACGGCCTTCTCTTAGGCATGGAGGCAGTGGGAAGATGACTAGGATACACCAGGTCTGCCCTCAGATAACTTACTGTCCAGTCTAGTGATTCACAGAAAATATTACTGCCTTAAGGTGAGCTGTGATAAGGGCTATCTCACTGGAGGCATGGGGTTAATTTCTACAGGAGGATACAGAAATCTTCAGGGAGGAGACAGCACTTGATCTGGGTTTGGACAATGATTAAGCATTTAATGGGTGGCAAATGGGGGATCTTGGGAATTGGGAGAACAGATGAATGAAATCAAAGGCATGGAGGCAGGACTGCCCATAAGGGTGTTTGGCAGGGATGTGGTGGTGGTAAGGGGAGTGGGTGGGAGTGTGGTGGGAACAGATGGTGTCCTGTCCTTCAGTAAGCAATGGGGAGACATCAGAGGTCTTTGAGCAGAGGAGTACCATTATGGGATAGAACAATGAGACTGGAGAAAAAGAGACTAAGACATCAGGCGGTTCAGACAGGAGAAGGTGAGAGGTGAAAGCCGGGGGCAGCTGCAGGACACACAAACCCAGGACCCTCCCAGGGGATGGCAAGGAGGTAGGACGGACTGGACTCGGTGAAGGGCAGGGGTTGGAAAGGAGAGAGGAAAGGCACATATGATCCTGAGGTCTTGGCCTATGGTATTGGGCTACACCGCTGTAAAAATAAAGAAGAAAGAAAGAAAGCCCCTTCCCCAAATACAGTGACTTAGATCAGATGGAACGTTCTCTCCGGCCCCCGTCATCTATGCTTGTGAGGCTGCTCCGCTCCGTGACGTGATTCAGGACCCCAAGTGCCTTCCATCTTGGTGTTCCCTCATCCCCCCAGGATTCTGTGCTCCCTGGTGTGATTAAATATGGGTGCTATTCCTACCCAGGGGAAGGGGAGAGCGGGGAAGTCTGGGGCAAGCAGTGTCCTTCTGAACAAGTGGGGAAGACGTTGCTCATAGTCACCTGGCCAGCTGCAAAGGGAGGCTGTGAAATGTTATTTCTGCCCTGTGACCATGTGCAAGGAAGAAGGGGAGAATAGATCTGGGGTCGGAGGGCTAACCAGGAGTTGCCACGTCTGGGTACCTGGAAAAAATTCCGAAGGGCAGCAGGCTTTGGCAGAGAATACACAGTGTAGATTTTGTGTTAAGTTTCTCATGCCTTCAGGGGGTGGAAATATAAGTTTGTGAGTAGTTAGCAGAAGAGAGAGCTGAAATCTGAAGTGCAAGGGAAGAAGAAGAAAATTGGGCTAACAATGGAGCCCGAGACTCTTGAGAAAGTCCTATGAGGAATAGTCCTTTTGCCAATAGCATTGGGTTAGCCAAAAATTAGTTTGGGGCTTTCCGTAAAATGTTACAAAAACCCCAAACAAATATTTTGGCCAACCCAATAGTTGCTTTATTTTTATTTTTATTTTTTTAATTGAAGTGTAGTTGATGTTTAATATTATATTAGTTTCAGGTGTACTACATTTTGATTCATAGTTTTATAGACTATACTCCATTTAAAGCTATTACAAAATAATGTCTATATTTCCCTGTGCTCTATAACATACCCTTGTTGCTTACTTATTTTATCCATAGTAATTTGTGTCTCTTAATCCCATACCTTTATCTCACCCTTCCAAACTTCCCTTTCCTCAGGGTTAACCACTAGTTTATTCTCTGTATCTGTGAGTCTGTTTCTGTTTTGTCATATACATTCATTTTTTTTAAGACTTCACATATAAGTAATAACAGAATATTTGTCTTTGACCTATTGCACTAAGCAACATACTCTCTGAGTCCATCCACATTGTTGCAAATGGCAGAATTTCATTCTTTGGGGGACTGAGTAATATTTCATTGTGTATATGTACCGTCTTCTTCATGCAGTCATCTGTTGATGAGCACTTAGGATGCTTCCATATATTTTGCCAATAGTA